CCAAAACCAGAGACACCTCTTCTGGATTAAGCCACATGTGTGCCATGAGTATGGGTGATGCTGTAGCCAGAAGTCCTCTTACAGATGAAGACTGGGATTTGAACCCCTATAAAGAGTTGCAGACTAATAAATCTGTGAGGTTTCTGGGATGGTTTACCTTGGTTCTTCTCAACGCTGAAAGAATTCTCGCAGCAAAAGCGCTTTTGTAAATCCAAGTAGTAACTTTAACATGAGGGAACGGGAAGTTTCAGGTAATACAGTCTCAGATAGTACACACTAACTCTGCAAAGCATGCAAGGCTTGGCAAAGGCTGTGGGCAAGTTTGTGACTGAAAATGGCCACTTTAGGAGAGCACGAAACACCATGTGGAAATTGGCTGAAAAGTGGAGTTGACAGAACCAAAAGAGGAGTCCTGACCGACAAAGGAAGAAGGGAGGGCGCAGGAGAGAGAGAGCCTGCAAGTGCTTCTTGTGCATGAGGGAGTTTCTACTCTTTATCCCGTCCTACCCCCAGGTGGGGGCATGGTTGGGGGTATTGTCCAATCGGAGGGGCTGAGTTTAGGGGCTTGCATGACTTGGGGTTGCTGGTTTCTAGTGTGCATGCCCAGGTTGACCTTCATCATCACGAGTAGGTGACCTTGGTGTGTGCGTGCCCAGCTTTGGAGTTTTCCTCCACAGGTTTCTTAGGGTGCCTCATTTCCTTCAAACCCCTTTATTGTGGCATTGCCAGCTAATCTTCCTTTAGAGGAGCATTCCCTGGAGACAACCCCCTTTATCCCTTATCTTCCTACCTATCAAGAATCAGCGAATTGGTGGTACATTTTTGGCATGAAGATTTTAGTAGTGTTGGGGCAGGGCCCATTCTGTGCTTCAAATGATCTCTTCCATGATGCACAAGTCTCCCAGGGACAGGGACAGAGTGTAGTGTTAGATTGTGCTACGGAGTCGCGCCCAACAAAAGACCACTGACCCACAAGCAGCTGCAAAGTAACAAAGCAAAAGTTTATTAGAGAAGAGCAAAGGTTTATTAGAAAAAGCAAATCCGGATTTGGGCTACAGCATGGCCACGCAGGGTCCAAAGCTGAAGCAGCCGGCAAAAGGTGAGCAAAAGGTGAGCATCAGCCACAAGAACTGATTGTTCTTATACTGGAGCTAGAATGAAGTGCAAGACCCACATCCATTCACATATCTATGGTTCATTTAGAAGCCTCATTGTCATTTTATGACAGAAAATTATCAATCATCCCCTGGGCATAAAGTAATCTGTTGATAGTGTATTTAAT